AAAGAACAATGATACTTCACAGTTGCTGAACCATGGGACAGAATCGAGACAATACCTGGAAAACTTTGATGAGCTTTAGCTCACCTCTACGCTTGATCTCAAAACCTTTCAGTTCAGCAAGGGTACCATCATCATTGAAAACTGCATAACGTTTCTTGATCAAAATCCCTTCCTCCTTGGATGCAGGTATAATCATTGCCTATACCATAAACACCTCCGATAATAATTCAACAGAACCAACAATGGGTTGGTCTCATGTCATTAATCTGCATCACCTTATATGGTCCGTCAACCTCAAACTCAATTGAGCATTCGCTGTGTGTTGTATATGTCTTACTGAAAGGATCTTTAAGTGTCTGCAAGAAATAACAGAAATTCAAACTTGTGAAATAACAGAAATTCAAACTTACTGAAAGGATCTTTAAGTGTCTTACTGAAAGGAAATAACAAAAATTCAAGAACAGTTGGTGGAGACAAGGAAAGACTATGCACACAGCAAAACCACCAATGTACCTCTTTGCAAACTTGTGAAAGTCGCAATGAATAATTTAAGATTTTCTTCTTCTGGAAGAATCTGATTTAGATATCCCACTACATTGCAAACTCACACGTTAAACATAATTTCTCGTGGCCTTNGTAAAGTAAATGGCAAATACCATGGTGATATCTTCATCTTACAAATAGAAACAAAAGGATGTGACATGAAAGGTAAAATAAAAATAAAGACACATTCAAAAGTCAATCCAAGCACATGTTTATGGAAACTCAATATATTTACACACATGCATACACACACACACACATTTGCATGAAATCGATACAACACAATTGACCAGGCCTATCTGTCAAGAAAGATGATGAACGAACTAAAATCGACTATATTAATCACCTCTAAACTAATCCTATGAATTTTAATCAAATAAACAAACTGCCATAGTTGTTATCTATACCTAAACAGACTTTTTAACAATATATTTGTAAATACATGGAGAAATGTTGGCTTCTTGATTTGACATATTGATTCAATTGTAATACTTTGACATAGAAACACTGAATATGATACCGAAAAGTTCCAGGAAATCCGCATATAATCAGCATCCCAGGATCTAGTTCAATCAATGTATCAAACCACGGGTTCATATCCTGAATTTTAATTTTAAAACGAACTGAAATACACAAATCTAATGATTTGAAATACACAACTTGTAATATACACAACTCAACACTATAATGCATTTGAAAAAACTACTGGAACAAAGGAAATTGTAATACTTCAAGAAACATGTAATCATGGAAAATTGCTTCTGAAAAAACTTAGAGGTCAAGAGAGCAGTCTAAGAACTTTACTCGCTTCTGATAAAAAAACCAAAAAACATTGACATGAACTGAAAGATAAAAAGGCCCGTCTATGACACCCCCTCACTGACTTCTCCAATTAGCTCATTTCCATAGCTAATTTCCATTTCTACGAACTGCACGATTGTTCGTAGCCCTTGCATTCCCCATACCCAGAATTCCCCCAATGCCTGGCACGATCTTCATCGGGCTGAAAGGACTGAATCACCTGGAACCTGTTGCGCGTGCGCTGGCGGTCTTCGAGGAGAGTGAAGAGCTCCTGGACATTTGTCAGGACTTGAGTGACTCCCGCTATTGTCACAGAGAGAACGTTGAGAAAGCCAGTGAACCTCTGAAAATCAGTCCCACAAAGCAGGAGACCGGCTCCTGAGATGAGCAGGACCCCACCACTGGCTTGATAGAAGTGAGAACGAGTGTGGTCGATATCCAATCCAACCAGAAATATGTTGTCAGCGCCGGAAAGCCGAGTCAACATATTGGTCAGCAGCACCCTAGGTAGAGTTTGGTCAAAAGTGACGTGGAGGCGGCGAGGATAGATGACAGCGGCGAATTCTAGTGCACGCGTGGCATCAGCATCGGTGCGGATCTCAAAAGCCCTAACACGGAAATTGTATTAACACGTAACTAAACAAATATTAAATATTTTATAAAAATCAATAGGATTTGTATTAACGCGAAACTAAATAAGTATTAAATAAATTGTAAAAAATGGATAACATTCGCGTTCGACAATTAAAATCCATTATGCAAAATCATTTTCAGAAAAATGGATCACACTCGCGTTTGACAATTAAAATCCATTATGCAAAATCATTTTCAGAGTAAGTGGACAACTAAACTTAAACGCGGCCAAAAAACAACAATAATCACGAAGATTAATTGTAAAAAAATTCAACTTAAAGGATACAAAATCACTTTTCAGCGAACAGAAATTAAATAGATTTAGTGAGTAAAAAGCAAAACAGTATGTATTAAACAACGATATCCGCTATTTTTCGTATGAATTTTTTAGATTAAACGCTACAAAATCTCACCAGTATGTATTAAAGGATACAAAATCACTTTTCAGCGAACAGAAATTAAAAAGATCTAGAGGTTAAACAGCAAAACCGTATGTATTAAACAACGATATCCTCTGTTTTTTGCATGAATTTTTTAGATTAAACGCAACAAAATCTCACTCTATTAGGATATCGTCAAAATTTGTAAAAAAACAGAAATTAAACGCTAGAATCGACATAACTTCAGCCAACAAAGATTAAACAACTATCAACTAACACACGTAAATCAATTAAAACAGCAAAACTCAAGTTCGTAGTAGGATAACTAAACTCATGCATTCTCATATATCAAAACATAAATCAAGCTCAACAAAATAAGACTAAGGTTAAATGAATAGAATAATCTACGTACATTGCGTTTTGCTTTGAAGCTTCACAAAACTTGAAACAGCACCTGGAAAAGAAAACACAGAATTAGAACAACTGAGAAGAAGAAAGTACAAACAAGTGAGGAGAGGAAAGTATAAAAACTGAAAAGAAGGAGTATAAACAGTGAACTTACAATCTAAAAAATGAAAATGGACGATGAGGTCAAGTGAGTAGAGGGGGTCTATTTATAAGTACGAAGTTTGGAAAAAAATATATTGAATGAGTGTAGAATGGGTCCCATATATGTAGTTAAATGAATGAGTAGGAATGTGGGTGTGTGTTTAAATGGATGGAGATTAAGTGGAAATATGATGTTGAGATGATGCGAATGAGAGAGTTTGATTGAACGAATGATTTGTGTGTTAAGGGATGTGAATGCCCTAACACACAAATCTCTATCCATTTAACACAAATCATTCGTTCAATCAAAAAGTAACACTCTCTCTCATTCACATCATCTCCACATCATATTTCCACTTAATCTCTATCCATTTAAACATACACCCACATTCCTACACATTCATTTAAATACATATATGGGACCCACATTATCCACACATTTAATATAAATTTTAAATCTGTAAAAGAATAAAATAATATAGTTAAGAAATTAATTTAAAACAAAAAAAAAAAGAAAAACAAGCCTGATGAACGCGTTCAACCTCTTGAACATAATCCTGGGCCCCACGCATTAACTGAATGGTCACAATGCATTGAACATTTTTTCAGCGTTTAAATGGAGGAAATGAACAGGCGTTGCGGCTGCCCTAACACAGGAATTGTATTAACGCGTAACTAAACAAATATTAAATATCTTGTAAAAATCAACAGGATATGTATTAACGCGAAACTAAACAAGTATTAAATAAATTGTAAAAAATGGATAACACTCGCGTTCGACAATTAAAATCCATTATGCAAAATCATTTTCAGAAAAATGGATAACACTCGCGTTCGACAATTAAAATCCATTATGCAAAATCATTTTCAGATTAAGTGGACAACTAAACTTAAACGCCGAGCCAAAAAACAACAATAATCACGAAGATTAATTGTAAAAAAATTCAACAGTATGTATTAAAGGATACAAAATCACTTTTCAGCGAACAGAAATTAAATAGATTTAGTGAGTAAAAAGCAAAACAGTATGTATTAAACAACGATATCCGCTGTTTTTCGTATAAATTTTTTAGATTAAACTACAAAATCTCACCAGTATGTATTAAAGGATACAAAATCACTTTTCAGCGAACAAAAATTAAAATGATCTAGAGGTTAAACAGCAAAACAGTATGTATTAAACAACGATATCCTCTGTTTTTTGCATGAATTTTTTAGATTAAACGCAACAAAATCTCACTCTATCAGGATATCGTCAAAATTTGTAAAAAAACAGAAATTAAACGCTAGAATCGACATAACTTCAGCCAACAAAGATTAAACAACTATCAACTAACACACGTAAATCAATTAAAACAGCAAAACTCAAGTTCGTAGTAGGATAACTAAACTCATGCATTCTCATATATCAAACATAAATCAAGCTCAACAAAATAAGACTAAGGTTAAATGAATAGAATAATCTACGTACATTGCGTTTTGCTTTGAAACTTCACAAAACCTGAAACAGCACCTGGAAAAGAAAACACAGAATTAGAATAACAACTGAGAAGAAGAAAGTACAAACAAGTGAGGAGAGGAAAGTATAAAAACTGAAAAGAAGGAGTATAAACAGTGAACTTACAATCTAAAAAATGAAAATGGGCGATGAGGTCAAGTGAGTAGAGGGGGTCTTTATTTTATTCTTTTACAGATTTAAAATTTATATTAAATGAGTGGATAATGTGGGTCCCATATATGTAGTTAAATGAATGTGTAGGAATGTGGGTGTGTGTTTAAATGGATAGAGATTTATTGGAAAGATGATGTGGAGATGATGTGGATGAGAGAGAGTGCTACTTTTTTATTGAACGAATGATTTGTGTGTTAAGGGATGTGTGACACACAAATCATTCGTTCAATAAAAAAGTAGCACTCTCTCTCATCCACATCATCTCCACATCATCTTTCCAATAAATCTCTATCCATTTAAACACACACCCACATTCCTACACATTCATTTAAATACATATATGAGACCCACATTATCCACTCATTTAATATAAATTTTAAATCTATAAAAGAATAAAATAATATAGTTAAGAAATTAATTTAAAAAAAAAAAAAAAAAAGAAAAACAAGCCTGATGAACGCGTTCAACCTCTTGAACATAATCCTGGGCCCCACGCATTAACTGAATGGTCACAATGCATTGAACATTTATTCAGCGTTTAAATGGAGGAAATGAACAGGCGTTGCGGCTGCCCTAACACAGGAATTGTATTAACGCGTAACTAAACAAATATTAAATATCTTGTAAAAATCAACAGGATTTGTATTAACGCGAAACTAAACAAGTATTAAATAAATTGTAAAAAATGGATAACACTCGCGTTCGACAATTAAAATCCATTATGCAAAATCATTTTCAGAAAAATGGATAACACTCGCGTTCGACAATTAAAATCCATTATGCAAAATCATTTTCAGATTAAGTGGACAACTAAACTTAAACGCCGAGCCAAAAAACAACAATAATCACGAAGATTAATTGTAAAAAAATTCAACAGTATGTATTAAAGGATACAAAATCACTTTTCAGCGAACAGAAATTAAATAGATTTAGTGAGTAAAAAGCAAAACAGTATGTATTAAACAACGATATCCGCTGTTTTTCGTATGAATTTTTTAGATTAAACGCTACAAAATCTCACCAGTATGTATTAAAGGATACAAAATCACTTTTCAGCGAACAGAAATTAAAAAGATCTAGAGGTTAAACAGCAAAACAGTATGTATTAAACAACGATATCCTCTGTTTTTTGCATGAATTTTTTAGATTAAACGCAACAAAATCTCACTCTATCAGGATATCGTCAAAATTCGTAAAAAAACAGAAATTAAACGCTAGAATCGACATAACTTCAGCCAACAAAGATTAAACAACTATCAACTAACACACGTAAATCAATTAAAACAGCAAAACTCAAGTTCGTAGTAGGATAACTAAACTCATGCATTCTCATATATCAAACATAAATCAAGCTCAACAAAATAAGACTAAGGTTAAATGAATAGAATAATCTACGTACATTGCGTTTTGCTTTGAAACTTCACAAAACTTGAAACAGCACCTGGAAAAGAAAACACAGAATTAGAATAACAACTGAGAAGAAGAAAGTACAAACAAGTGAGGAGAGGAAAGTATAAAAACTGAAAAGAAGGAGTATAAACAGTGAACTTACAATCTAAAAAATGAAAATGGGCGATGAGGTCAAGTGAGTAGAGGGGGTCTATTTATAAGTACGAAGTTTGGAAAAAATTATATTGAATGAGTGGAGAATGGGTCCCATATATACTGTAGTTGAACCTATTTACACCCAAACAAGATCATCCACAGAAGACCGTGGGTAGATAACATTGCATATCTGCCTTTTGAACTGCTGCCTCTTTTAAGTTGTAAGTTCAATTATCAAGACTGAAAATAACTGGTCCGAAAAGCAAGATTTCTGACAAAAATGCTTAAAAACCCACTACTTGTTGATATGCAACTTCTGGTTTTGTTTTCGCTTTTATCAATTTTACTGGTAGGTGTAGGATGCGAGGATATTTAATTCGGATTAAGGTATGAAGTGGAATATGTTGTTAAATAGGCTACATAACTAGAACAGTTGAAGTCCTAATAAATAAATCTGAAATTTTATAAAATTTTTTAACTAAACTGTAAAATAGTATTCATCATCTTCCTCGAAATCCCTGGCAAGCACTATAACACTAATTCATCAACTTGAGTTCATGTTTCATGTACGGGTAAAAAAAGGGGGAAACGGGTAAATAAAGGAAAACAGGGGAAGAGTATCATAATTGGGGCCAGCGTAGTCTGTTGAGCTGGTTGGCCCATGTTTTATCCCATTTGTACTCATAACCATCAGGGGTTATTGGGAGTTGGGATGCATGATTTGAAGTGAATTATAAATTAGTAAGGTTTGAAATCTAATTTATCAGTGCTGAATGTAGATATCACACGAGAATAGTCACTCTTAAGTTGTAAACATCAATTAATTCAATGATAAGTGTGTGGTCCAAAGAACTGAACAGATTTTGTTCCTAAATGTAGTCCCACTTAAGTTTAAGAGACACAGGACTTGTGAATACAAACATTAACCATGCTTGATGAGGGAGCATACTGCTTAAATGTCTGCTTCGAACTCTTACAAATTATTTTGATTCTTCAAAATCCTGCAATCAATGGACTAGACAGGGCTTAAATCCAATCTATGAGGCATTCCATTCTGGCTTTCAAGCTTTTGCCATCAAATTGGTCAATTTTTCTTTTTTCTTTTAGTTTGTTTCTATGTTTCTCTTTTCTTTTATTCTTCTCTCTCATTATTCTCTAACTATGTATTTTCCCTGTTTCATGTTACTAAATTTCCTAGTATTCAACTAATTTCATGGGTTCATGCGTTAACATTTTGATTGTTTATTTTGATGGACAGACATCGTTATCATGGCCCTGTGATTGCGATTATAGAGTGCCCTAAAATCCAGTTACTAAAGTCTGGTATACGGGCACTGGAAGAATTTCCATGTGTAGCCATCCCTTCCAATGTTCGTGATAGCCAATATCAGGTGGTGATACGTTCTTTCTCTGAAACTTTATGTGGTTTGTGAAATTTATTTCCATGATTGTTGTTCCAAGTTCTAACATATCTCTATGGCAATCTGTTTGTACAGGCTATTGGTTGGCAGGTAATTGCTGCGAAAATTGGATTACAAAGATGTGCTGCGTCATCACAGTGGTTTAATGAGAGAGTTACACTTTCACGATATGCCCATGTAAAGTTGCTGCATTGATTTCTTGATGATCTCTGTATAGTGAGTGTATCTTTTGTTTCAAATGGATTCATAATGAATAACGTGGTATGAACAGGTTCCAATGGGAAATTCTGAAGATGACTGGCTCATGCAACAGGTTCCTGTGTTTTTCATCTCTAAATTGTAATTGCTTTAGTGTGCTCCCATTAGCTACTTCTTGACTGTATTTACAGTTTGAGCATGTTTAAACCAACAGGTTCTTTGGATATCTGATAATGGCATCCCAGACTTGGGAGGCACTAATGAAGAAGTACCGTGTTTTATAGATGAGGTAACTGATTTGAACTTGAGACTTATTTTCTTCTTCTGGAGATGAGTTTCTGTCAACTCTTTTTT